CTTTCACCCAACATCATTCATGTCTCCCATTGATCCTTCTTCCTAGTAGATAATTTCATACTGGTCCACGACTAACTGTATTAAGTTCTGGTTGCTTTTCAGTTTATGCTAATCAAAATATGTGATGAATGAAATCCTATTATATCCCCACTCAGAGAAATTTAAGGGAAATACAAGTGTATGGTTAAATAATTTCTGACAAGCTGTGGCACAGCACATAGTGTCTGAAGTAGCTGATGGCAGATGTATTCATATTTTAAAAGTACTTGAGTCTGGATGCTCAAAACATTTTCTTTCCTGTGCATGGGTACCAAACATTACTGTTTTGGATTAACCTAGTTACTTTCTAGCGTTGATGACTGTCTCCCAGTAGGCAGTATAATATTAATAGTTTTGTTCTTTTGCGTTGCAGGGGGTTCAGGACCATCATCATCAATAGCCATAGCTGGCACCAGCCAACCTGCCATCACAAAGACAACATCTGTGCTTCAAGATGGTGTTATAGTCACTACTGCAGCTGGAAACCCACTTCAGAGCCAGCTGCCCATTGGGAGCGATTTCCCTTTTGCTGGCCACGAACACTCGCTTCATTTTCCGCAGAACAGCTCTTCAAACAACAATCTTCCACATTCTTTGAATCAAAACCTCCTCAATTCTCTACCTATCTCTTTGCCAGTGAATCAGCAACATCTCCTAAACCAGAATCTATTAAATATACTACAGCCTTCAGAAGGAGAAGGCAAGTCTGAGGTCAACCTCAACCCTTTAGGTTTTCTCAACCCGAATGTAAATGCTGCTTTAGCTTTTCTCTCCAGTGACGTGGATGGGCAGGTATTACAACCTGTTCATTTTCAGCTTCTAGCAACCCTCCTTCAGAACCAAGCCCAAGCAGCTGCCATGCTTCCCTTACCATCTTTCAATCTGACCATCTCAGATTTGTTGCAACAGCAAACTAACCCTTTACCCTCAGTAACACAGATGACAGCCCCTCCTGACCATTTGCCAAGCAATCAGTCAGAAAGCAGCAGGGTGGAGACCCTGTTAACCAACCCCCTGGGCAACCCTATTCCGAGCTTTTCAGGCACTGACACTACTTCTAACCCCCTGCTCCTCCCAGCTGTCTCTGGGGCCTCAGCATTAATGGCCCTGAACCCCCAGCTGGTGGGAGGTGTCCTGAACTCTGCATCGGGCAACACCGCTAATCATCCAGAGGTTTCCATAGCCACCTCCTCCCAAGCAACCACTACCACAACCACTACATCATCAGCAGTGGCAGCACTGTCTGTCTCAACCCTGGGTGGTGGGACAGCAGTGGTGTCAATGGCAGAAACATTGCTGAACATATCTAATAATGCTGGGAATACATCTGGTCCAGCTAAACTCAACAATAACTCTGTGGTGCCACAGCTACTTAACCCTCTACTGGGGACAGGTCTGCTTGGTAAGTTCAATTTCTTCACAGATATAAAAGGAAAAAAAAAAAAAAAAAAAAAGGAAGAGGGTTGGGGAGGGGGAATTTCGGATTCTAGTTTTTATTTTTAAAGACTCCACTTTATCATACTTCTTTTTGTAAGGCTTTTGTATGTTACAGCTTGTTTATTTCTATTGAGAAAAACATAACTGTTATTGTAAGAGATTTAAAATACATTCTAATTTAATTCAGTAACATTTAATACTGGTTTTGGAAATTATTTTCTATTCCATTCTTAATTCTGATGCCACCTAGACCTTCTCTATACACCTTAAAATTCTGTAAGCAATTGGATTTGTTTCATTTTTCGAGTAATAAACGCACAGGTGCATCTCTGGGATGCAGTGTTTCATTTCAAGTGCATGTGGCATCACAGGGTTAGTACGAGTAGCTGTGCAGTAGATGAAAAATGGCCAAGTGCATTTTTCCAAATGAATCAAAAGTGCCAAAACCGTAAGCACACTCCCCGTAAAGTAATCCATAAAGCACTCGAAGTAGGTCCTTGCACAAGTTCAAAGAGGAAGGTTGCCCTTCGAGCCCTTTATCGTGGATTTATATTTTCTCATTTCTCTGGTTTTGGGGTTTTTTTTGCTTTAGCTTGTAGTTTAGAAACGCAAGGTATCTTACTTGACAAACACCTACATCCCAAAACAAGTGATTAAAAAGCCCTTAAATACAAGTTTTTTCTCCTGTGCCTTTTGATGATTTTTATCAAGAATACGTAATACAGTTATTACTCCTCTGTTGTTTGGACTACGTAATCTAATAAATAGAGTAGGAGGAGGAATTAAGTAGTGGCAAAGAGCTGATAAGTATTTTAACGTAATACCTCATACTTACCTACTAAATGGCTATCGTGAACTCAACCCTACTTTACATTTTCCATGTAAAATACAACTAACCAATGATTCTGCAAATGGAAATTTTAAGAAAAAACATGAGCTTAAAAAAACAACCGAACAAAAAACCCTAGGGATTAGATATATTTTTAAGCTTTATTATTCCATAAAGTCAGGCTCAACAGCGTATTTATTTTACTAGAACTAGAATTTTCATGTAAAGTGAGATTTGCACGTAATACAAACTGTTAATACAATTGTTTCTCTAGAATATTAAAAAAAAAATTGTTTATAGAGTGTTGGCTGACATGTCTGTGAGCCAAAAAGCCTTTGTTCATTTGCAGTTAGCTCACATTATTTTGTCATAGTTAATGAAAAACTCGTTTTGTTGGGGTTTTTTAAATTATTTTCTCTTTCTCTCTCTCTCTCTCTCTCCTCCTCCCCATCACCACCCCAGTACTGTTTGAAGCACTTACTCTTTGGAAACTAAGAGTAAGATTCCAAGACACCGAATGTCATAGAAGCTCATTCTGCCATACTTGGCTGTGTACCCTTCCAAAGGCAAAGCCAGTCATGTCAGAAACCTTTAGAAAGAGTCCAGATAGATGTGACATGCACAAGAAGCAATACTGAAGAAATAAAGGAATAAAGAGTAGGAGACACATGCCTTGAGGACCAGTGCATAGAAGATTGAAGGGGAAAAGTGTTGTTTTACAGAGGCGTTTGCTTAGCAGTCAGTTAAAATTTGAGTCAAGGAAATTCCTCCTGACTGTTGAAAACTATACTGACTTATGTTTCCCTGTGTTTGAATTACAGGTGACATGTCATCTATAAACACTACTTTGAATAACCATCAGCTGAGTCATCTCCAGTCGCTATTAAACAACAATCAGATGTTTCCTTCAAATCAGCAGCAACAGCACCTTCTCCAGGGCTATCAGAACATGCAGGGCTTTCAAGGGCAGCCCCCCATTCCTGGCCCAGCTAACAACCCAAACCCCATGGCATGTCTGTTCCAAAACTTCCAGGTAGAAAGCAAAATGAAATCAATATTCAAACAAATGTGCAACTCTCAGGAGGTGAAATTATATCCTCCATAGTTTGATTGGTTTGAGGTTTTTTGGCTGAGTGATTAAGACAATATGATATATAATATTGCTTGCCTCTTTCAGTAGCTTTTGGATTTTGCAAATCAGTGACATTTGTTACTGAAATTTTATACCTTCTTCCTTAGACATTGGGTATAGTTTCTTTGGAAAGAGTTATGCTGCTTGTACTGAAAAAAATATGCTATGTATGTTCTAACATTTACTATGTATTTTTAGCAAAGCTGTTTTCCATTCCACAGAAATGATCATAAATTCCCATTTAGACCACTCTAAGATTTCAGTGGTGGGAAATAAATATTGATACCACTTTACAGTAATTAGAAACTTAATAAATGAATATAGCTGACTGTATCCTCTTATATTCCCACTGAAAGTGGAAGAGCTAGCTGTGACGTGGATTGTATAGGCTGAAGAAAACAGGCATTAGAACGACTTTACAATGACAAACTGTGCAAAAATGATACCTCCCTGCTGTCCACCTAAATAGACAATTCTTCATAATGCAAGTTGAACTATCAAACTAACATACTGACAGGAAGCATAGCAACCAAATTAGATAATCAAACCAGAGTTAAAATACCTATTTGTTATTACTCAGTATTACCCTGGTTGCTGCAGAACTCAAGATGTGAAGACAGAAGCATGCAGATAGTGCCCGAAAGTGCTTTTACCCTTTAAGAAGGAAAAAGAAGATGTGTCGTTTTCTCAGCGTAGATGTTTCACTGCTGCTGCAAAATCACAGTCCTCTAACTGCCTATTACCTCTCTCTGTTTTTGTATGAATTTTGGTAGCTTTATCTCAGTATTTTTTGCTTCAGATTCTCAGTTTTATAAATAGTAATGGTAAGTATTTAAAGGAGCTTTTGGGAATATTTTTTCCTTTTTTTTTTTTTACAGTTTTTTTGTTATAGCACTGTTATTGACATCGTCTTCACTGCCTACCTATGTGATGAGAAATACAAAAAGCAGTTACTTTAATCTGAAGGTTACAGTTTACCGAGGCAGTGCCTGACTTTACAGCTGCAATGCAAAGGGATGCAGGCATGGTTTGCAAGGGACTGAAGTCCAAAGAGATCCCACGGGAGTAGCGCATAACCGAAAGGGGGAAAATAGAAATGTTCGCCAATTCCAAAGGGCCAGTGATGGCCTACATTCCAGAAATTGAGTGAGGAGCTTACAAGGAGTCCAGAAGAACAGTTGGTAGGGAGGAAAGAAGCAAAATTAGGGTCTGAGAAGGAATGAAAGAGAATAGTTGAGAACAGAAATATTGACCTTGGTGGAGATGTTTAGGACTTGTGAGAAAAAAGGAGGGTGCTATACTTCAATCGAAGAGGAAATCCCTGAAAAGATTCTGAAAGAGATGATAATGTAGTCTCAGCAGTGCATGGTAGGTTGTATCATTTCATGTAAGGCATCTGTGTTAATCCATGAGGCAAAGTCTAGATCCAGTGTTTTTGTTTTCCTCTAAATTATGCTTTTTTTGTTGTTGTCGTTTTCTATCTAGCTTGTTCAGCATTAAATTTCATAACTGATGTATAACCAAAATAAAATTATGTAAAATTATGTAACAAACAGTCACCCTGACCACCATCCTGATTTTTTTTTATTAAAATGAAACAAAGTTTGTCTATTAAAATGGAACTTTAGCCAGAATAGCAATTTGCATCTTTTTTCTCTACTTTTTCCAGGTGAGAATGCAGGAAGATGCTGCTGTCCTCAACAAAAGAATGATCACTCAAATGGGAATGGCGCCAGTTCCTGAGAGCTCCAACACTATGCTTCCTCCTTTCCAAGAAACGTCTTGTGATTTGCAGCAAAGAACTGAACCATCTCTTGGTCAACAGGCAAAGGATAACCTCAATGTCGCTGCTCAGGGTGATACATCGGTGGACGCCATCTACAAAGCAGTTGTAGATGCTGCAAGCAAAGGAATGCAAGTAGTAATCACCACTGCTGTTAGCAGTACAACACAAATGAGTCCCATTCCAGCTTTGAGTGCCATGAGTGCCTTCACAGCCTCAATTGGTGACCCATTAAATCTTTCTAGTGCTGTCAGTGCAGTAATCCATGGAAGAAACATTGCCGTTTCTGATCATGAAGGTAGGATAAGGAATACTAGAGGAACACGAATATTGAAGAATTCAGAGCACGGTAAAAATTCAAGTGAAGGGGATGGGTATGAATATTACAAGTCAACAAGTTGTAACACACCCAAAAAACAGTGGGAAGGGGAGCAAAGTCCTGTCAGTGAGATAAATAGATGGAAATGCGACGAGTTTCTAGACCACTCGACCCATATCCGTAGTAGTCCTTGTCACGAAAGGCCCAATAACATCTCCACACTGCCGTTATTACAAGGCGAGCAGCATCAGATACTGTTATCACAGCGAAACTGTCAAAGTGATAAAATGTTGGAGGAGAATTTCAGGTATAACAATTACAAAAGAACTATGATGAGTTTTAAGGAAAGACTGGAGAACACTGTGGAACGATGTGCACACATAAACGGAAATAGGCCTCAGCAGAACAGAGGATTTGGGGAGTTGCTGAACACTTCTAAACAAGACCTGATTCTGGAAGAGCAATCTCCAAGTTCCTCAAATAGTTTGGAAAGTTCGTTAGTTAAAGACTACATCCATTACAATGGAGATTTTAATGCCAAAAGCATTAACGGGTGTGTGCCTAGCCCTTCAGATGCTAAAAGCATCAGTAGTGAAGATGACCTAAGGAACCCAGACTCCCCTTCTTCAAACGAGCTGATACATTACAGACCGAGGACGTTTAATGTTGGCGACTTGGTCTGGGGCCAAATCAAAGGACTGACTTCGTGGCCTGGAAAACTAGTTAGAGAAGAGGAAGTTCACAATTCATGTCAACAAAACGCTGAGGAGGGGAAGGTATATTTATATATATATGCACATATCTATCTATCTATCTATCTACACATGTGCCTATGCCCATACAAATGTTTATCAAAACTATCTCGGTGCGTTCTTTATTTTTTTTCTTTGTCTCTTATTTTAGTAGTACAAAATGGGGGTTTTTTCATAACTATAGCGTGCAGAACTGAATTTTTCCCATTGGTAGAAGTTTCTCATTAGATAACTATGCCATGAAAGAGATTCTGTTATGGCGTGATTATGCTTTACTGGCTAATTTGTGCACAAAAGACTTGCTACACAAAAAATGTTGTTAACAAAAAATGGTTTAACTTACATTGTGTATGTAGTTGAACTTCTGGCTGTGTCCAAAGAAACTGGTATGGAGATATCTGTGTTGAAAACTGCAAAAAGGAAAACTGATCTAATCATATTGAGGAGTCGGTAATAAGTAAATATTAATAAGTAAAAGCTTGCCGATTGACACACTCTTTAAAAGGAAATGCATGTGCATTTTCACCTTGAAAGGAGGTTTTGACTGTCTTCTAATAGTGAGGAGAGCATTCCAATTTGCTCTTTCATACTAAAATCAATTTTTTGGTGTCAACAAATCATATGCTTGTTGGGCAAGATACAGAAAATACAGTTATCGAGGAGTTATTGGTTATTTTATTATGAAAAATATTTCAAATTCTGATCTCCACTACTTGTATAATATTATATTTTTGTAGTTCTTATAAAACATTTCACATCTTCCATATATATAAATATTTTTAAGTGCCATTTTATAAAAAGCAAATTTTAAAAATATGTAAGCAGAAAGGAAAGATCTAATGAAATAACGTTTTCCCTCTGACACAAAGAAATCAAACTACTTAAAAATTACATCTTTTTTCCCCATATACCTACCTAGTACATTCCATGACAAGTCATCAGAATGTAAGAACGATGATAGCAGGTTGGACCAAAGTATTTCTTTCCCCAAAACTTGGTCAAGAGTAGATATCCACAGTAGAGAGAGTACAAGGACATGTTGAGGAGTGTGTCTTCACCAACAGCCTCCGACTCCCACCAGTGCGTAGCTCAGGAGCTTCTTGAGCTGAAACTGGTGTATCTACATGTAACCACTGCTGGTCTTACTGGAGTTTCATACTCATAGAGTTATCTGAGGTTGATGCGCAAATGTCATTTCCCCAACCAGCCCAACAGGTCTTTGGTGAATTGGTGCTATAAATAACTGGGGTGATGTTTGGCCAGAATGGTTTCGAGAGAACTTTGGTCTCTCTTTACAGGTGGCTCCTCTGTTGACCTCCTTAGCCACAAAGGTTTCAAGGAGCTGAAAAAAGGATTTACTTTAAAGAAATCAACATGCTTTAGTAACAATATTTGAATACGTAAGGGCTCCTTCCTTATAAAGGTTAGATCCCCCAGTTACAAGTCAGTTTATAAATTATAGGCAAATGAGAGAGACCACAAACTATAAAAGATTAAAGAAACCTGGAAAAATTAGGAGGTTTATAATATCACTGTCCCCTACGAATTACAAATACAGTAATCACACTGCACATGTGTTCCAAGTCTGCATTTACATATGAACGTCACAAAATTGTGTATCCATATCTATATAACTGCTTTGATACATTTTAAGAGCGTATTTTTTATAACTTTTGTAAAGGGGTGACATTTTTTTCATTTACATTCCTTAGCAATTTTATACGTTTACTCCCCAATTTGTGGATACCAGAATGTATAGTTACTTTTGTGCAAACCCACCGCCTTTAATTTTGTGTCTCTTATGTACATTACGTAAGCATTGTGTAATATTATATTCAGTGGCACAGATTTTATTGTAAACTGAAGCACAAACAAGAGGGAAGCAACCTGTGGAAATGCATACATCGCTGCTCGTGGGGTACCATCAAGGTATTCTCTTCATCAGAAGGTCCCACGTAATGGATCACCTCTCACATCAGATGGCCTTTAATTTAGTAATTTTAATTTTATTTTTTTTTAAAGTATGTCTAATTTTTTCCAAGAAGAAGTACAGAGTGAACAAGGTCAGAGGCTGAGGTTGAAAGGTGGGATACAGGGGAACGTGAAAGACGTGAAAATGTGCATGTGCTGTCCAATAGTTCTGTTTCTAGTTGAAAATAGGCAGCAACTCCCGTGCACAGTGGCAATCTATACACATCTTCAAACACGCCTGTAACATGTTGTACAGCTACATTCTTCAGATGTTTGGGCAGCTCGGTCTGAAGAAAAAGGGGAAAAAAAAAAAACCCCAACAACCTTGAAAACCAAAAAGAAATAACCTTGAAAACCAAATGGTCTTCAGAAATTCTGCGCTTCAAAACATCTTGAAAGGTTACAAGTCATGGTGGGAGTCATTAGCGGTAGTTCTGAATATTGTGTTTTCTGCAGAGCTTTCTTAAAACATCTTTTAAAGTATTTGTATAATGAAATGTTGACCTCCTATATTGTAACATTAGTTTTGCTATGCTGTTGGGATTTCATGGTACTTTGTATATACTCTGTTCTTTATATCATACATAATTTGACTTTTATTTCCATTTAAAAGACTTTGGGTATTAAATGTAATAATGCTTCTGTTTGAAGAGCAGCCAGAATGGCGTTTCCCTAACAGGAGAAGGGAGGAATATTCCACCTTTGTTTCCTAATGAACATTCACTTTTTGGCTATTGGAAAATTAAAGAGGAACCCAAGGGAAGTGCAGCAGTAGCAGCAGAAATTTCTGAAAAGGAAAGAAGCAAGCCTGAAGCTACATGCTTCCAAAAAAGGAGGATGTGTATTTCATTAATTAATTAATTTGGTTATTATCCAAATCGAATCACCTAAAGAGGAACGAGGTTTTGAGAGCAACAAAGTGGAAGTCAAAGGGTATCTGTGAGCAGCGGTTGTCTGTTGTTAGTGCATAGTGATTCTTACAGGACAAGTATTGCTCTCAGTAGGACCTCCCATCAGTTAAACTGTTGTGGTTTTTTTTAAAACTGAGCTTTTATTGTTCTATAGATAATAATGGATGTGATTTATCAGTGTCCTGAAAATCCCATTTGTATGTATTGTCTAGTGTTGCAATGGCTTATTGTAAATGAAGGCGTGTGATATTATTAATTCAAATATATCTGTTATAGTTGCCTCCAATACCATGTTATGTTAGCAATTTGGTACTACTTCTTCAAAAAAACACTAGCACACACAAAATTTTGTGTTCAAAAACCCACAAAATTCCAATAATGAAGATACCAATTCCTTTTTGTTACTTAACAGAAGTCCCTTCTTACCCAAATGTGATATTAGCTCTTCATAAAAATATTTACTATTGAACTTTCTTATGTATCTAATGGCAGGCATTTACAACCGTTTGCAAAGTTTGATCCTTATATACATATATATATTACGGATAATGTACAATTTAGCATTCGTGACAACTCTGTCACTTAGTAAAGTATCCAAAGTAAACGTTCAAGCTGATTATGTTACTGCCCTTTAATTCTGTTCAGTATGAAAAATAGAAGTTTCTCCTTCAGCTGTTTTTCAAACACGCTATAAAATGAAAGCTTGAGCTATAGTGTGTTGCAGACAGAGTCACGTTGGCTCCGTTAAGACCATTTTAATATAGGAGATGGAAGGTGTAAGCTTCTGAAGGCGGTTTGCTCATTCTGTGGTGTTGCGTGCCTTTTCTTCTGAGGTTTATCCTTAGAAAAGCTCCGCAGGTTTTAAGTAGAGAGTATTTCTTACATATGCATTTGTATTTTTCCAAACTGCGATTAGGAGAGGAATTATGTGAAGTATTTGCAGTCTTACATTAAAAGTCAGCACAGTTTTAAGGGAAAAGTGCTACAATCTGTAGCATAATTGAATCTATTCCATGAAAATAGAAATCTTGCCTCCCCGTGTGCAGATCGCACCATTCATGACTCTTGTCTCGTGAGTTCCTGAAACTGCAGAATTCCCCAGTTCCATTATCAGATGCATAAGTTCAAGATGTGAAATTTGGTCTAAATATTTATTATATTGGACCTTATTTCTAGAGATTTTGACAACTTGCTCATTCATTAACTTCACGTTGTCACGTCTAAAATTCAGTTTCATTGTGAAAATAAATTATTCAGTAATTGAAAGGCTGGGTTTAGGGGGAATTTGCATTTAAATTTATTTTTTGGATTGTATATAGGCATGCTTAATAAATTTGTATTTATAGAATTAATTTTCCTTGTCTCAGAATACAAGCTGTACTTTTTAATGAAACAAAAAATATAAGGTTCTTGTTAAGTTATGCAAAGCTTAAAAAATAAGTCAAGCAAAATGTAGCAATACTGACAAAGAAAAAGGAATTTATCCATTCGTTTTCTTCAAACTGATGTGTTTAAATACCTTTTTTGTTTTTACAAGCAGAAATGACTGAGCCAAATCAAAATAATATGCAGAGTTATCTGGACTAATGTTTTGAGAATGGAAATGATAAAATCATACAGATGATATAATTAATTTTATTTTGTGTTTGTATTGTTTGTACTTGTACTAATGGGTACCTCTGCAGTGGTGCCAGTGATTCTGTGCAGTGGTTCATGTACAGATTGCTTAAAAGATTATAATTCTGGTTGATTTTAAGAGAACTTAAATTTCCAGTTAAAGTACGTTAAATACCAGCTCAGCATCTCCATTGAGCGCGTGCTCAAATTAATTCTTGACTCGGCAGATTGCTAAAGTATATGCTTAAGTAAAAAAAAAAAAAAAAATCAAAAATACCTTTCTCAGGACCAATAAATTAGCTGCTAAAGCAAGCTCCAGTTAAGACTCAGAGATTCATAATGCATAAATAAAGCTTATCACCCTGCCCGCACCCCTGTAAAGGTCTTAAGCCTTTTAACTGAAGTACGTACTGTGGCTCTTCTGAAATAGGAATGAATTTGGCCATGCCATTTGCTGCCTTGTTTAACACTTTATCCAGGAATCTGAGGTGATGTGAAATGTTTTTGTGTTGATGGCATCTGTAAAAATTGTGTCACGTGTACGAGGCAACTTGGTATTTTAATGCATTCCATGTGGTCTCAAAAGCATAAAATACGTTTGTAATATATGAGTACAGAATGTGAGACTATACCAACAGTGTTCATATTAGTAATATAAAGACAAACAAGGTTTTTAAAGTATTCTTCTCCTTCTTAGTTTTGTTTTCCTAACTGTCAAGGTTTTGGTTTTTGTATTTCTATTGCTAGTGGTGTGGACATCTAGAGAAATTATAATCCATACATATATGTATGAGGGGGTGTATATAGCCATACCTTAGTTTATTCTTTGCTGGGAAGGTTAGTGTCTCGTGGAGGCAGTGAAAATTAGGCTCCATAGCGATGCATGTCTAGCAGTAAAGTAAAAGCAGTGTTTAATAATTGCAGGTCTGGGTAATGTGGTTTGGTGTTCATACCTTCACTCAGGTGGAGCCAGAGAAGTTGAAGACACTAACAGAAGGTCTAGAAGCTTACAACCGAGCCAGAAAAAGGAACAGAAAGTAAGTAAATGCTCATTTATTTCCTACTGAAATGGAATAATTAAATTCTTTTCCTTCCTAAGACTCTCATTTTGGGGAGCTTAGCAGATTGGCCAAACTGAAGAGTTAATTTTCTGAATTCCTTGTGTTGGTTATGATAATCATCTGAGATCTTTGATATCTGCATTTTTATTGCATCTTCTGATATTTACAGTAGCCTTTGTAAAATGTCAGCCTACTTGTTTGAGCTTTCATGTGTAGGATTTCTAATTTACAGCAAAAAAAGTTATTACATCAAAACTATTCTGACCAAATACGCTTTTTAACAAGATCTGCCCTTCTTATCTTTTCCCTCTCCCTCTGGCAGCTGCTGCTGCAGGCAGAGCACAGGTTTATTCAGACAAATCCAGTTTATTTCCCATAGCTGAGAGGCGTTGCAGAATTTGTGAAATCTGACTGTATTTAACCAGACAAGGGGCTTAGTGCAGAGCTTTTCTACTCTTTGTGTCAGACATGTATGAACTGTTTGGTTTTATCATAGAACCGTAGCATGGGTTGGGTTGGGAGGGACCTCCCAGTCCATCCAGTCCCACCCCCTGCCATGGGCAGGGACACCCTCCACTAGCCCAGGTTGCCCAAAGCCCCATCCAACCTGGCCTTGAACACTGCCAGGGAGCCAGGGGCAGCCACAGCTTCTCTGGGCACCCTGTGCCAGGGCCTCAGCACCCTCACAGGGAAGGATTTCTGCCTCCCATCCCATCTCCATCTCCCCTCCTGCAGCTTCAGGCCATTCCCCTTGGCCTGTCACTCCCTGCCCTTGTCACCAGCCCCTCTCCAGCTTTCCTGGAGCCCCTTTAGGGACTGGAAGGGGCTCTAAGGTCTCCCCGGAGCCTTCTCTTCTCCAGGCTGAACAAGCCCAACTCTCTCAGCCTGTCTCCATGGCAGAGGTGCTCCAGCCCTCGGATCATCTTGGTGGCCTCCTCTGGACTCTCTCCAAGAGCTCCATGTCCTTCTTGTCCTGGGGACCCCCGAGCTGGACGCAGCACTGCAGGGGGGTCTCACCAGAGCGGAGTAGAGGGGCAGAAGCCCCTCCCTCGACCTGCTGGTCACGCTGCTGGGGATGCAGCCCAGGACACGGGTGGCTTTATTTACAAATATACTAGGATAGAAACACCATGGAACAGTAAGCAGTAGAACAGGAACCATCAACATAGACAAAAAAGAGGAAAATGGTTGACTTTAGAAGGAAAAAAAAATTTGGAGAGCTATAAAAGGATAGAAAAGTAGAAATTGTACTATGATTGGATTTCTTTTAGGATTCTGTTGCTTATTTACAGTGAAAATACATTACTTGAATCTGTGTGAGAAGTTAAAGTCAGCTTGTCACGCTTGTCTTTAGCACAATAAACACAGGTTTAAAGGAATTAAATAATTATTTGTCTTCAACTCCTTTTAAGGTGTAGGCTTTTCTTCTATTTATGTGTCATGTGGTGCTAAAGAGAAATATTTTTTATGCCAGTGAGACAATGTTGGTGGTTGTTTTTCCCAAGATAATCCTCAAAATATGTTACTGGAGTTTAAGGGTGTGTGCTAAGAACATAGAAGGGCTTTTGGCAACTCCTCAGTTATTTGCTTTTGTCCCTGAAGCAAAATACGTGACTCAAGTAAGGTGACACCAGGAGCAAATTTAAAGAAGTGTTAAAGTTGAAATAAATAGTACAATCTAAGAAAAACTCCCATCTTCTAATTCACATTCGTATATTTAGCAGACTGCAAGGATTGTCTGCAGTTCCACTGAATCCAGGGGCCTTTTTTTGTGGCGTGTCTGGTTCTGCCCCATTGTTGCCCGTAAGCCAACACGAGATATCAAATATCCCGGACGCTCTGAGGCACCTGGTTGCCCCTTTCATAGGGTTGCTTTACAGCCCTTACGGGGTTTTCCGCCATATGTCTACTTGTACTTATTTCATATTTCAAATCTTTTGGTATTTCTCCATGGACTCTTTCTCTTTTACCTGTGTACTGCTTTAAATTTATTTGAAAAGTCATTAATCTCCTTATGGCCTTCTCTCTGGTATATGTCTCTGTAGTATCTTCTTACACACAGGTCCAGATTTTTAAAAACATTTAGCATTAGATACAATTGTTACATGTAGAATACTCCTATTGCTGTTTCCTGCCTGTGTAAGTACTCCGCACTTACGCATATGATGTACTGGCATCAAGTTGAACACTTCTATAGTAAAGAAGATATGGGTAAAGAAACCCGCGAGACATTTATGTTGAGAGAACATGGACTAGCATCACATAGGTCCAGCGTGTTTAGCAGAGCAGGGTTAGCATCCAGGTCCTCAAAGGGACGTTCACATACCTTAACCCCATAAATCATTCTTTGTGTTCCTACAGTTCTTGTCTCAGCCCTAGTATATTGTCCAATTTTGGCAACAGATGTTACTTACAGGACTACTACAGTAGTCTCCTTCGCTGCATGCAGTCTTGACTCTGTCTCCAATAGTATTTATTATTTATATTCTATATTAAAATGAAATTAAAGATGAAAAATGTCTGCAAAGCTAAAAACTGTCTTGTAATAAGGATGTAATAGGACGCAATTCAACTTGCACTGTCAATTCAGTTTTAGTTTTTAAAATGGGAATGTTTTGTGTATTCAGTTTCTTAAGTTTCTAAACAAGACACTAGAAAAAAATGTCTTTGTTGCACATTTGATCAGCGTAGTCAAATGCGTTAGCTGTACTGCACAGAGCTTTGTAACTTCAACTAATAGTATGGCCTGAAGCACTTTGTGTAGCACTTCACTAGAAAATGGAAAGGTGTTTTGCTTGGGGAAATCTCAGAGGCATGGTGCGACTCCGACACCGTCATATTTATTCTGGGCCTTGTAGGAAAATGTGCTCTGGTGCAAACCGCTGAGCCATCCCAGCGTTTCTCAGTTCCATCTCGTCTTAGCCGTTCTATCCTTTTCCGAGCCATGTCTCTCCATGCTTCCAGCTTCCACGACACAGCAGCTTCCTCACCTATCTGGTTGTAGTCTCTAGAAGGTTATCTGCTGGAGGCCCAGTCTTCCCTTATCAAAGCCTCATCTGAGCCAATCTTTGCTCTCCACAAGCTTCATAGTTTTCTGCATTCCTCTGTCCACTCTTGTTCTCCTGTCCCACTGCATGCAGAGCATCTTCCATGGGTCATACCCCATACCAGTGCTGCCGCCTCCTGTGGTTTCCTGTTCTTCTGTGTGTTATTTCCCACACCACACTTCTCTTTTGCCAGGAATGTGCCATTTACCATTCCTACCGTCACCATCTCTGCCATCCGTACTAAGTTATTTCAAAATGAAGTTTGAACATGGCTTCTTAGCGTTCAACAGTTAAGTCTCTGACATCTCTCCATGTTCAAAGTTGAACAGGACTCCAGTAAGGGAAGAACTAATGCATCTCTTCCACCACCTTTTGAACTTCCAGCTCTAGTCAGTCTTCATCCTGACACAGTCTAAGCCTCTGTCTTCTCTAGATGCGAGTCTTGTAGCGGCTTGCCCCACACTGTTAGAGACGGGCAAGGTGGACGCACTCAGACAGCCCCTATTGTTGCCGCAGGAGCTGCACAGGGCAGCAATTGCAAGTGAAGTCTGGAGTACATCCACTGTGGGAGGAACTTCAACATGGCACATGCTCGGACTTCGTTCTGGTGGTACAATTTGGTAAAATGTGAAGGGGTCCTAGTAGGGAGGAGGGTTAAAGGAACACTTCTGACAAAAAGGTTATCCTCCCTTCCCAAGGGAAGGAATCTAAATCCTTCTCCAAAGCCTGTTGGCCATGAGAAGTTTTCTAAGAGATGCTGTGCTGCTTTTTCATGAGAGGAACAAACTGTTGCTAGGATCTTTTAAATGTAATTTGACCAAAATTGTGATGTTTACAGGTTGGTTTACCATCAGAGACCTGATGCGTATGTTTATCTGATGGCAAATTCTCAGGTTTTTAGCTGCAGCGTTTTGTCTGCAGTAGATGGATATTTCAGTGATGGACACTTCTGAAACTTTGATTTGCTCAGGGGCAAATTTTTACTCTTCGTAGTAAAAGGAAGATAACAACACTGTCCAAAGACTACAATTCAAATGATCACTTACATTTTAACTACTTTCTAATGGTTGTTTTGACTAATAGCAATAATTTCATAGATGTTGTAACCCGGCTGGATTGCTGACAGAGCATAATGTTGATTAAATAACTTTACATCACATATAGGTAACTTGACATCTGAAATCTGCTTCTAAATGACATGCAAGTCAGCAACGTTATCAATTATTAATATATCTGCATTACAAATAGAGTCATATTACCATTCTAGGAAGTTATGCTGCCACTAAACAATTCTGTTTGTCACTTATAATATCTATGGGTGCCTTCGCTTGTCCGAGTTGCATAGCTTAAACTTGTTTTTGCAAGCAGTCTAGCTCAAGCAGCTTAGATACCCAGGTGGACATCAGGCTTTGCATGAGAATCTTTATTTCAGTTTATGTTATCATTCCTCTGGTTGATTTAAGCTAAAACAGGATACATAATTTTAAAGTTGCACAAAACTCCTTTACCGCTGTTTTAACTAATTCATTCAAAGCCTTAGTTAAACTTGTGCAACTTCCTCAGTGTATGAAGTCCTGTTATACCTCACTTTTGTGCAGCAAGGTCAGCAAGGCTTCTGGCTTTTTTAATTTTTTGTGCAATTCATGCCCTGGTATAGCGCAGATAACCAAAGCAAAATGGCGTTAGGGAGTATCTTTTTTGAATAACGGATAACAGACCCTCTGATCTCCTATCTTCTGTCTCCCAGCTGTACTGATGGGTATGAAAATCATTTTGCTGAACTAGGGGGATGGAATTACTGTACAGCAACGCCGGTCGTATAGTTTGTCTGTGCTACTTCCTTGTCAATCTTGTGCCAATGCTTTTAGTTACTGTAAATGTTTAAGTCCCAGGGAAGAATGTCCCAGCTGACATGATGATCTTTTTCTTTATTAAAAGGGAAGATTTTTTTTAGAAAGTGTCTCCTTCTGTGAGGGCCAGTCCTAGTGACCCAGCTGTCCTTGCCAGCTTGGGACGAGCGGTTCTCTTACCTGTCTCTGCCATTATCTTCCCTCGTGGTGCAGACAGCTCTCCTCCTCCTCCCCTCATTCCTGCATCTCCAAAGCCAAGATAACAGAACTTTCTTACTTCCTGAGGATATTGTGATGGATGCTCATAATAACGTCTCTCATCTTCAGGATGATCTCTCTCTCATCTCTTATTCAGCCATTTCTCTTCATGCTCATTACTCATCTAAATGTACCTATTGAGTTGAAAGCATGAATGAACCAGCCTATCTAAATATATATATGTGTATATATATATGCCTGCTTTTAAGCACAGATCCTCAAAAAGCTGTTGATAAACGATGATAACACGTGCTCAGGTACCGTTTGCTAGCTTAAAACTCTCAAGTGTGAACACCGAGGCACAGAAGTATGACCTGTTGTGCAGAGCATGGTGTTCAAGTGGGAAGCTTCGTTAAAGAAATGTACAGAAATCAAAAATGTCACTGTAAAATCAGATGTGTATGGAGCTGCCCAGTAACTTGGGGTAACTTTTGGTTTGGAAGAAGAAAGTCCTCTCCTTACCTTTACTTATAGCCCTCAGTGTGCTGTCATTCCGGGGTAAAACCAGCAATGTCTTAGAGGACTAATACAACCTATTTTCCTCTGACTATTTAAAGTTAGAAGAGACATTTAACTTTGAGCTTTGTGCTTTGGGTAAGAGGAAAACTTTGCAGCTCATGCACTGATTTTTCAAGAAGACGGCAGTGTACGTATTTAGTCCTTCACACAGGTATTGCTGAAATGTAACCACATTTACAGACTAAATGCAGCGTGTAACATGGAGTGGGAAGCAGGCAGAGGCGAACTGGTGGTAGAGGATTAGTAAGACTTGAAGACTTTAAGAAAGTCCAGAGTAGCTGGAGTACTCCTGCTCCTGATCAAAACCCGTGAGAGTCTGGCCCTTTGCTAAGGATTTTAAAAAGAAAAGATCACACAAAATGCTACATTACCGTGAAGTACTCTTGCTTTTTATTCATGGGTAATTTGTCTTGTGGATATTGCAACTAACCAAACAACTCATTGAAGTGCTGGCTTTATTTTTTTCTTCTGTAATTACAACACAGGCCTTTAATTTGCATAATACTGCGTACAGGTCTGGTCTTGCTATTTGTGCTATAACAACCTGGGAGGCTCTACAGGTAGTAGAAAATGTCCAATGAGTTAATGTGTTTATTATTAATTTTGTTAAAATTTTTTTTCTGTCACTAGGAATTACTAACAGCATTATTTTTTTGTTCCTAGAAGTGGAAAGCTAAATAACCATTTAGAAGCTGCTATACACGAGGCCATGAGTGAACTAGACAAAATGTCTGGGAATGTAAGTTTCTTTTCACATTGGCAATAATCTCCTCCTTTTCCTGTGTTTCTGCATGTGTGTCAGTTGTAGACTGGGGGTGTTGGTTTGGGTTGCTTTCTAATTTTGTTTCTGTTTTCTTAAATAATGTGGAATTTTCAATATTTCTCCTGCATTAAAAAGCCGTTTGCAATGTCTGATCGTTCTGAAAAATGGGAAAAGCTGTAGAATTTTAGTTGTGTTGCCAATGATGTTATTTTTTTACAAAGGTAGATTCCTGGTCATACTTTTACATGTGCAGCCTGATAATATTTGGATCAGTTCCAGTCCCCCTCATATTCCATGAGTTTTCTCTGACTAGTGACACAAAATCAGGCTCATTTGCTCTTCAGTTTGAGTAGCAAGATATTGAAACCACATTTAAAAGTATCATTCTTTTGAATGTAAAACTCTTTGAGTAAAGTTTTCCTCAAGTGAAGTGAAAGATATTGTCATGAAAGGTAAGTTAAAAAGAAATGAGTATTCCTAATATCAAATCTAACAGTGTTCTTTCTGCAGTAATTACACTGTTATTATATAAGCCCAAGATCTTTCTAACATAAAATTTGGTTTATATAAAGTACTCATTTTCATGTTTAAAACATGGCTGTAATTTCATGAAGCACGCTTAGAAATGCAAAAAAGTCTATCACAGTACATGTAACCTCCCATATCTTATCAGTGGTATTATTCAAATTATTACTTATAAAACATTTGAATGCAGAAAAAAAAGAGTCCTCTTCCCTGATATTCGATCCCCGTACTGGAGATGCTTGTACATGTGCATATGTAATGATATTCGATCCCCGTACTGGAGATGCTTGTGCATGTTCATACGTAGAAAGAGGAGTAAAAGTTCAGGAGAGCTTCTGGCTTATACAAAACGAAATATATACGGAACTGCAGACTTAGAGCTAGTTTCTGAACCACCAAGAAATATTAAATAAGTTATTCAGTAGCTTTTAATGGCTGCCATAAGTAATAACAAAATCAAATCTTTTGGTTAAACTTCTGAATTTTACAAAATGAGATTGAGTTTTCATTTAAAACGACGTGTGTTTTTCTCTTGCCTTTCGAAGGAAGAGGAGAGCAGGGTCTGATTGTAGGCCTGTTACAAATAAATACGAGATACGTGTTTGACACACGCATCTTCCGTGTTGGTTACACCACCACTTAAATGTTTGCACTGGACCACTCTGCTGATACCTTTTTTTTTTCCTCTTTTTTTTTTCCCCCACTTATAAATCCAGTAATAGTAAAAACCGTATGGTATGTGCATTTTAACTATGATATAAACTGGCTCAGGGGAAACTGCTGTAATTGGATTTGCTGATCTAGTTGTTTCGTAATGCAGACAAGCTGATGTACCAGCCTGCATGTCATTACATAGTCTTGATTTATATTTTAATTATCTGGTCACAAAATTTGTGATCAGGTTTTATTTCCATAAAGATTATGATTCCTAGAAACACTCATAGGGAATCAACGGCACTCTTCTTAGGGACTTGCATTTTTTTCAGCTACTGCTGTTCAGACATCAGTTCATTTGAAATGAAAAGCATGTGCAAACAAGATAATTAGCTAAAGCACTATTGCTAAGAGCCAGTAAATATGTAGTAAATGTTAGCAGTCTGAAGGAATTCAGGACGGACCCGAAGAAATAATTTAGCACATTTGTTGCTGTTGCCCCGCTGCTGTTTGGAAACTGCAAACCGCTATTACCAGAACAGCAGCTCGCTTCCACCGACAGATGGTGGTGGTATTCCGCGCTAGACACGAGCGCCTTCCTCCACGTCTCTCCTTCCAATTAGGTTGTGTTTTTCACGGAGCAGTCAGTGATGAAAAACTGTTTCACACTCAAATTAACCTAGCATTTAGCTTGAAATTGAACATTTCCTTTTAATAATTAGATGAAGACAGAGTTTGCTAAACACAGCTTGTTCCTTCATAATGCTACCGCAGACCTGCATTTGACTTCTTTTTCCCTGTCAGCACTATTTTCTCACCACCTACTTCCTACTTTATTGCTCTTGGCATGATGAGGTATAGAGGTTTGTCTCCGAGAATTTGACATAATTGCAGCTTGGGGTTCAGTTCCCGATTATGTGGTTTCACGATTACTGTAGCTGGTACCTTTCTCCAGCGTAGGAGAGATTTGAGATGTACAGCGGCATCCAGCATCAACCTTTTTTCTCCCCAGTGCCTTAAAGTTCTTGAAGTTCCTTTTAATTCGGGCTTCCGTGTAGACCTGACATAAGAAGAACCGTTTCATAGCAGCACCTCAAGCAATCCTGTAGCTCGTTTATTACTGGTTCGTTACTTTGACCAATATTCTTTGCTAACTTCTTAATATACTTATTTTTAGGTCCACCAAATCCCACAGGGAGACAGACAAGTGAAGCCTCCAAAACCCAAGAGGAGGAAGATCTCTAGATAACATTGAATGTCTTTGTTACTGGTCCAGTACTTATCAAAATGAACGTGCACATAAGTCTATATGTAGGTATTGATATAGACGTGGTTATATCAATATTTATATGAAGACAGATAGATACCATCACAGGGTGCTACGCGGATTAGTGGTACAATATTTTTGATGATTAGGAGGGATAGCGGTTGCTGGATAAGCCAATCAGAAATCTCGAAAGGTTGCAGTAACAATGTCAGATGATTACTGAAATTTTTTTCTATAATACTAAAATTGTGATTATAAGAAATAGTCCAAATGTTTCTGAGAAATTTTCATTGTGTATATAGATAATACAGAATTTCATGGTGATATCTGAAATGTAAATATTGTACAATATTGTCATGTACAAGCGTACCTAATGCACACTTTATCTTTTATTGTACAAAAAATAGTGTACAAAATTCTTTGGTTTCTATTGAGTACACATACAAGAGACTACCAGTGTAAAGTGATAAATAAAAATACAGCCTAAATGCTTTTATATGATAATGTAAAAGATGCTGTTTTTGTATTTAACAGCAGAGAGAAGGCATGATTATGTAATACCTTAATTATGACATACACTTCACGCCACTGAGTGTTCATTGATACTGTCTGTTTGGAATGAACCTTGCCTGGAAGTACTGTACTCCATTTCAGGTCTCTGTAGGAGAGTGCAACCTTGCAGATTCCTAACGGGATGTGGGATCACAGCTCTAATTAATAACTCAAAGGCTGCAACTATTGGTTGCGTTTTTATTTACTTAACTTTTAAAGTAGAATGCTGTAGATTTTATTAAAAAGAAAAAAAGTAGATGGACTATTTTAGTCAACCATTTCTGTAGTTAAAGTTTCATAGCCACCTGATAAATTAAACAGTTTATATCCCCCGTAACGTTGACCCCTCAAAACCCCTAGATTTATTAGCTTAAATTATCTAACGTCATTAACCATCGTGTTTACTTTTAAGGGGGCAGAGGCCCTGCTTTAATAATGTGATCGGTATTGATTACGGTTTGGTCTTGCAGTAGAATGAAAGGGCATGCTCCGCAGCGTTCGTAAAAGGAATTCCAGTATCCATCTCGCAGTATTAAAACAAAAACTTAAGGGTGGCTTACAAAACTATTAGCAACAGTAATTTTTATCAGTATTATGTAACATATCAGATTTATTTTATTTAAAAAGAATTATTTATACCATTAACAGATTCTTATATATATTAATGTGGCTGAAATGTGCAGGTTAAATCTATTAACCAAATTATTTATGTTATATTAAGTGAGAAATGTGAAACATATGTAGAAAAAATTAATACGCTACAGATTTAAAAGTCTAAAGCTATGAGCCATTATAAAATTAACGAACGGAAGTGTAGCACAACATTATTTCCATTTTATTTCATTTTTCTTTTTAACACGGATGGTGGTGATGGTGACGGGAGCAATGACATCCTCTGTCTTCAAGGCTTCCCAAAATAACTCTCAGTTCACCATTCCCGGTCCCGGGGTGGAGTCCGTAACCCCTAACTCTTCGTCCGGGACCACCACTTACCTCAGATTTCCATTTTTTTTTTCCCCCCCCCGCTCCTGAATTCCTGAATCTCACTCTCTAGCTAAGGTCTGGCAGTGATCAGCATCCTGGGAAGCTGGCGGTATCGCCGCTCTCCAGATACCCGGCACTCGGCGCCAGGATCACAAGTCATTGCTCCTCTTCCCATCCGCCTTGCCTAAGTCCCAAACTCCTCTCTCTGAAGGACGTGACCGAGACCAGCCGTCCCTGAGGACGACGGGACCCGGCGGCTTTCCCAGCCTCGGCTCTCGCGTGCCAGAGCACGCAGCACTACCTCTGGGCTCGGCCCTGGGCTTTCTCGTGGCTGGCAAAACGGCTCTCGCTCCTCCTTCCCCCAGCCCGAGGGATCGCAATAGCTACACTGGCTGCAGGGGCCTGGAGGCAGGAGCCCTTCCTTCCGCGGGGTAGGTTCATTTGTCTTCTCTGTAACGCCACCGTCCTCCATGCGAGCTCGCGTGAAGTGATTGATTTTAGTCGTCGTTTTTTTTAAACAAAGAAAAGTGGGTTTTTTTGCTTTTCGGGGACGTAGCTTAGCTCACGTTTTTCCGTTCCGAGTCGCTGTGTTCGTTTCAAGAGTCGATGTTGTCCGTTTTCCACGCCAGCCCGCTTTCCTGCTGTCTGTCCGCACCCGCATGGGTTCTCATTCATCACGACGTGCGTGCGTGTGTGCGTGTGCGAGCGCCTGTCTCGATTTAGTTCCTTTCCCCCTTTGCTTTCTGTCCTAGAACCGAGTTTGTATTGACCGACCCTTCTTTTGGCATTTTAACTAATTAGGTTTGTACTTTCTCACCGATGTATACTTTACATCAGTAGACTATGTAAAGTATTTTTGTGCACTTGATTTCATTGGTTAATAATGGCATTGATGTGGGTGCTAGGAGTAGTTTGTTTCAGTCCATACCAATTTTTTTCTCTTTTAGAGTTTTTATGGTTTCATGTAAGCAGTTAATGTAAATATTGTGAGCATTACAGGTCATGCAGTGTTGTAACATTTTAAAAAATGTTGCACCTACTTTACGATTAAAAAACTGGTCACTCATACTTGAATTTTGCCCATAGAGCCATTTCTTTCTCTTTGCATTAAAGCATAATATACTTTTTTGATGGAGGCCCAACCCTTCTTTCTACCTTATTATTTTTTGTTTAATAAATCTATATTTTTTCTAATAGAAGACTTAAAAATGAAAATTTAAAAAATACTTTTTGCCTACTTTCTAATTTAAGAGAGAATTCCTATATTTAAAAGGTGGAAAAAAAAAAAAAATACTCCATTGTGGAAAGTGGAACAACACTTTATTTGTCATTAATATGGCACAATCACACGAAACTGAACTGGCTGAGTAAAGCGAGCCCACGACGTCAATCAGTATCTCGGTAGATTAGGGAACTACGTGATTCTCTGAGGATGTAAAGCGTTACATATTCTTGTCTATTTATTTATTTATTTATTATGCTTTCTTTTGCGAAGTGGGTGACAATGTGGTTGAGTCATTCAGATGACATTCAAATTAAAGGAAATATTCCTCTTTCTATTATGGTGCATTTTGTGAACACCATAAAAAAATATTTTCATTTATTTCAATGGATTTTCTTCATATTTTCACTCCAGACAGAAAACGTTTGGCTGGTATCAGCTGCAAAAATAATATCCACATAGTTTAGAAAAAAAAAAAAAAAATCCAAAAAACCCACCTCTGATGTCCCAGGTCTATCATCCTCACAGTCTAAGGTTTTAGGGGTTAAAAAGAACTTAAAGGTATTTCCTAAATCAGCTTTGCAGAAGGTTTATAAGTAATGTGATATCCTTTTGGAGTCCCTGAGTTTGATGGTATAGAGGTATTAGAGGGCTCGTGGTGGACTGAATTACCTTAGGACTGCTACCTTTCTTAGCTACAGTTTGTATTTTGCTATGTAGGGTTGTAATGTGAGAATTCCAGAAGAGCAGTAGCATAAAAGTGCTTTTCTATTTTTTAAAAAAACCCATTCTAGTCTTACTAAGAATTAGAGATTTTTTTAATATCAGTTTTGTAATTTTTGATAAAGTTGTCAATATTATGATTAAATCACCAGAAAAAAAAGTCACTGTGATGTTCTCTTCGGGGCAGGGACTATGTCTTCCTATGTATTTGTGAGATGCCACGATGGGACGCCCAGTCTTAAACGGGGCCACGGGCACCGCTGTCAAATTAAATAGCAACCGCCAGCGTTGAGGTTGATTTAAATGCATAAAAGCCAAGAGAATTCACAGTTAAGACCGCAAATCCAATTACCTGTCCTTAGTTTGCCTGCTGTGTCCTCCGTGAAGGTAATGTCATCGGGTGCGACGTCCAACGGGTAAGTGGAGGAAGCCGATGGCTGTTGAAGTTTTTGCTCACAAAACCCAGGACCTTCTCGTCCAAGTCCGACCAGATCCACTCGGTTAACACCGCCCTCATCCCCACCTCTCTCTGCTGTTTTATTTACCGGTACTAACTGAGCCAGTTGACGTTCACCTTTCAAGATTCCCAAAAAACCCGCCATTACCCCAGCGGTTTAAGATTACCAATTTACAAAATCCCAAACACATAAACGCATCATTTACTTCAAAAGTCACTGCAAGCGCAGTTCAAATGGGTCTCAAATTTGTCTACCCCCAGGACACGAGCCCGGGGGCTCCCTGGGGACCCCCGAGCCCGCAGCCCACCGCACCGAGCATTTCTGCGCGCCGCTGGCGTCTCTGCGCCAGCTCGCATGCCCTTGTGCTGTGGAAGACTAGAGGCTGACTGTAACAGAGCGAGCCTGCGCTCCTGTATTTCTTACAATTTTGCTGAAACGCAGAGGTTACATCGGGGGCTGGTTTCGTATTGCTGTAATAAATGCTGCCCGAGCGTACGTACCCCAAAAATTCCCACCAGCCTCTTGCGACCCTGCGTTGCAGGCTGCTATCTAAACTAGCGTGCAAAAAGGAGTACGAACAGTAATATATTATATTTGCTAAGCAGTGGGAAGTCGGGTCTCTGTACATCATTTCTCCCTGCCGGGTTTTACAGTGTATTTATTGGCTGTGAAGACTTAAAAGCAATTTTTGTTGTTGCTTTAAAAAAAAAAAAAATTCCGAGATTTGATTTGAAATATCCCCTGCAAAAGCAGGTTCTGGAGAGATTTCATCTTTCATGTTTTTACCTGCTGTGAGATAAGTATTTGTAATTGAGCAGCATCCCAACACAAGATAAGGGGTTAGGACTTAGAAGAGAAAAAAGACATTCGTATGTATATATATACACACATATATATGAGTTCTTTCTGGAAATTTCTGTTCTGGAGAAGCTGGGAAATGGGAAGAGTTTTGACGTACTCACCCTGGACAAAGCGGAGTGGAGAAGGCAGGGTGAGAGCATCCCCACCTATTCCTGCCTCCAAACCCCAGGAAAGCAGTAGCGTAGGTTGCCGCAAGTCAAAGAAAACAACCGCGCGCCCGCGGTGTCGGCCGGCGCTTTGAAATCACGGGCAGAAACCGACAGCAGCGAGTGGGGGAGCTGGGTCTGAGCCGCAGCTTGAGTCCGGCTTTGAACGGTGCTAAACCAGTTACGATGTGGGATGGGAGGACAAAGTCTGTTACGGCCACATCCGCATCCAGGTCCGGTGGTGCGGAACGTTTGCAGGTAAGTTCTCCTGTGGGCGTTAATGATCTCATTTAGCTAATGATGTTAATAGCTGTTAACTGTCATTTAAAACCAGCGATCGTGAGCAGCCGTACGGACAAGGGAAAATAAGCGTTTTTGCCCTGAGGAAATGTCGGGTACCGAAAGGAAGGTGCAATGCAAAGAAAGAAAAAGTATCCTAAAGATGCGGAAGAATAAATGCTTTGGGTTCAAAAAAACATATATAACTTCTACTCAGCTGATTTCTGATTCACATGTGGCTGGGGGCAGGGGTTGTCGCCGAGTCTGCGCT